CTGGAAGCAACTGCATATTTTAAATCAACATAAAAATCCAAATGATAACTGCATGTATTCAATGTAGTATTTATTAGACAGGGAAAAAATAGACGAAGTAAAGCTTTTACTCTATCTCATATGAAGACATAGCTCAAAAAACTTCAGTGTTATCCTCAAGAAATTAAGTTACAAAAGTCAGGAATTGGCACAGTATGTTCTCAGCCAGTTAAATGCTGCTTATTATTTTAGCAAACATTTCTGCTGGCAGTTGTTAACCTCAGGCAATAGAAATACATGTTTGCAGAGGAGTAAAGAGCAACTAGGGAATCTATTTATTCACTCCTATAAAAGCTTTTCTGAACTGATATGCAGAGTTACTACTTCAGAAGTAATTATAAACCAAGCTCATTTGAAGTGGCACCTTTGTTGGTTGTTTTTATTTTTGGTTTTATTTTTGAAAACCACATTAACAGCATACAACTATTAATTGGTTTATAAATTAAATGCAAAATTGGTAGTACTATTAGTATAAAACTATGCTTGACTTCTACAATTTTCATAGAATGAAGGACCTTTATGAGTTCTTGTCTTTGGGGAAATATTTCTAAAATTCAATAACTGCCATATGGTGTAAGAAGATTCAGTTCAAAAGAAGAAACAAAACCAGACATAAAACACAGACTGGTTTATATTTTTATGACTATAAGTAGTGTTCCTCCAGTATGGTAGGGAATTCATTCCAACATGTCTTTCAATGTGGCACTAGTATTTTATAATGACTTCCTACAAGTCCTTTGTGATCTTGACTGTCTCTGTCCATTGCTCTTTCAAAGATATCCTTCCTGATACTGCAATTGTCAGAGTGTTTTTCTGTTTCCAGAAATAATTTGCTTCTCCTGTCAGGCACAGCACACCTTCTTTCTCAAAGAGCCTCTTCAGGTGGCCATTTGGAAGCATTACCTCTGTGCAAATCAGGCAGGCTGCTGACTTTGTGTTGGCTCACTTCTCAGCACTGGCTACTGCCCTGAAGGCAGCATTAACTTTTATTCCTGGACTGATAAATTCCAGGCCTATTGACATTTGTGACAAGACTCAGTGAAAGACTTAGCAAAAAAAAGGATGAAGATGTGGAAGAGGGAATCAGCTAAGGACAGGCAGAGATGATCCAAGTCTTCAGAACCAAATAAACACACAGAGGTGTTACACCTTACCTGAAATGCAGCATTGACAACCCTCTCTCATGCAGTGTTTGAAGAGCAATCAAAAACCGGAGCCAAGATGCTAAAAGCAGACATTCCCAAACTATAGAGAAATTAGATTTCAAGAGTTCTGATACGTGGGCCTTTCTATAGTCAGAAAACAACAGAAAATGAAAGTAATTATGTAAGAAACGGGGAAAAGCAGAAGAGTTCTCCCTGGATCTAAGAGATCTGGAATGATCAATGAGAAAAGAGGAAAATTGACTTAGTATAATTATTACTACAGTCTTTTTTTCTGCCTGTCTTCATAACTACAGTGTAAAAACACAGCTTCAGTTTTTCCTAGCTGTGTGTAGGGGGGTGAGATATAAATCATCTATGGGCTTGTGGCTACACTTCAGTGAAACTGATGACATGAAAATCCATAGACTTGGGATGAGGCAGTATTTATAATAAAAAAGATCAACCTGGTGATAGGAATACTACAATTGTTTCCATTATAATATCTTTTTATACTTCTTCATGATACTATGCTTTAGAAATGTGTATGATTATCACAAGATATAACAATCATGAATCATTCAGATTACCAAGGATGTCCCCAGAAAACAATCTCAAATGCAGACATTTAACAGTTCCCAGATTACCTGCTGGAGCTGGAGAGACTGATTCAAGGCATTTCCTGGAACGGCATTTAAATATTGTGCTTCAGAGGTCAGTTGGAGTTACTCTGGTGTAAACTGAGGGTAGTCCAACACCCTGTGGTTAACCACTACCTGGCTTTAAAGAAAGAAGATGGGTTTGTTTTTTGTTTGTTTGTTTGTTTTTAATAGCTGTGTCACTTTGCTCTTTATTTATTTAATTAAGTAACTATAAAAATTCACGTTCTCACCGGAATTATCATCAGCTAAAACTATTGTGTCTAGAGTAAGTGTTCAGAAAGACCTGGTTGTCAACAAGTAGGGTTGCATCCAAGGAAGAGATATTCCTATTCATAGGAATGAGTAAGAACACTTGGCTTCATTTCACAGATACAGGCTATTCTTTGAAAGGTGAAATAGAAAAAAGAGTCTTTCAGTGACCAGATACCTGTTCTTTCATGTTACTGGGAATCTCTCAGACTTCAAAAATTTTAAAATTACTTTGAAAAAGCAGAGATGGTTTTCAATAACTCCAAATAGATGGCTTGAAGGGAAAGATGCAAGTTTTAGTGCTGACAATAAAAGTCAAAAAGTTAACTGATCTAAGCATGAAAGGAGTAAACAAAATTTTCTCTTCATTTAGTTGTGCAAAATGTAAGCAAAATATTCTTCATGAAATTACTATCAAAATGCAATAAGAGCAAATACAAAACTGGTTTTGCCATGCATATTTTTAAGTCAGTGAGTGCCATAGTACCAACAGTGTGGAGAATGGACTCCCTAGAAAAAAATCAGTGATCATTCTTTCTTCCCCTGTCCTTTGCTGATGTTATTTCTTCATTGCCGCTATAGAAGCCAACAGAAATTTTAAATTAAATACATTGAGCTCTTTGTGTTATGACAAAGAAAGATAGGTTGAAATGTCATGTTACTTTTGCATTTTAAATGTAAAATACTCTATTTACCTGGTCCTGTATCTGAGCCTAATAAATAGGAAATATTTCTGTTTAAACCAGCTATTTATTGGTTACAGTGAAGTCTTTCAAACGATATCTCACAGTAACTTATTTTTTACATTTCTTCCATAAGAAAAGACTATTATACAAAACACATATATAAATAAAAGGTTTTAATGTTTTTATTTTCTTTATATACATTTAAAGAAATAAATAAAATTTATATCTACAAAGAGAATAAAAACTTTTAACATTAAAACTATATTGACTCCACTGTGCTTAGTTTTGCTAGTTAATTTCTTACCTAAATCTCAGTGGACAGTTTTACCCAATGACTGTGTGATTTTCTTTTTTAAGAAAGAGGACTTAGAATAAACAAAGAGAAGCTTCTAAAATTAGGTTATTCATTCCAAGGGATGCTGGATATCTAATGCAATTCCTGTAGGTCGAGAGCAGCATCTGTATTGATTATTCCGCAGAAATTCATAACGTGTGTTTGAATGCCATCGCTGCTCAGTTTACTCAAGTGTCCCAAGCCCTCACCGCGATCCCGGTGTGTGGAGCCACTTGCCAGGGAGGTGCGTGCCATCTAGTGGCACCCGAACACACGACGGCACCGTCAGCCAGACAGATTCACGGAATCATTTAGGTTGGAATATCATCGAGTCCAGCCTTCGACCGAACAGCACTATGTCAACTAGACCATGGAACTAAGTGCCATGTCCAGTCTTTCCTTAAACACCTCCAGGGACAATGACTCCACCACCTCCCTGGACAGCCCATTCCAATGTCTAATCACCCATTCTGAAGAAATTCTTCCTAATGTCCAACCTGAACCTCCCCTGATAAAGCTTGAGACTGTCCTCTCTATGTTCTGTCGCTTGTTGCCTGAGAAAAGAGACCAACCCTCCCACCAGGCTACAACCTCCTTCCAGTAGTGATAATCATTGAGCCTCCTCTTCTCCAAGCTTTGCATAAGGTCTAGTGGGCAGCTGCTGGACATAATCTTCACAAACAAACAAACAAGCAAACAGACGTTCACTTTCAGTAGCAATGTCTCTCACAGGTCTCTCTCCTCCTTGATATACTGTGGAATACTGCCTCTAACTTATCTTTAGCTGCATTGGCAGCTCCCTATCGCTCCTTATCTTCCCCCTCTACTTTGCACTTGTGAGAACCCACCAGGAGTGCTGCATCCAGCTCTGGGGTCCTCAGCACAAGAAGGACATTGACCTGTTAGAGTGGATCCAGGGGAGAGACATGAAGGTGATCAGACAGATGGCGAAATTCTCCTACAAAGAAAGGCTGAGAGAATTGTAGTTGTTCAGACCAGAGAAGAGAAGGCTCTGGGGAGACCTTATTGTGGCCTTTCAGTACCTGAAGGAAGCCTGTATGAAAACTGGCGAGGGACTTTTCACAAGAGCATATAGTGACAGGACAAGGGGGAATGGCATTAAACTGGAAGAGAAAGGTTTAGATTAGACATTAGGAAGAAATTCTTTTCTGTGAGGGTGATGAGGCACTGGAACAGGTTGTGCAGAGAGGTTATGGATGCACTATGCCTGGAAGCGTTCAAGACCAGGCTGGATGGACCTCTGTGCAACCTGGTCTACTGGAAGGTATCCCTGCCCATGGCAGGGCAGTTGAAACTAGATGAAATTTAAGGTCTCTTCCAACCCAACCCATTCTTTGATTCTCTGATTTTATGACTATACTTGTCAATTCAATCGTATTGAACAAATTACATCTTGGAAGACATTAGAAGCTGCCAGGTCATACGGATGGATTCAACATAAAGGAAAACAAACCCAGCCCTGCTTCTTCAGTCTAAAGACTCTATGTACCACAGCATCCCATGAGCGCTACCCAGACTCTCTGCCTCCTGCGTGCCAGTCTTACCAGCTCAGGGGCTGCTACTTCTGCTGCAGAGCCCAAGGGGATATTTTATGTCATCTTACGGCAAAAGTATGACTACGTTTTTTTGGTCTTTTTGGGTTTTTTTCCGGCCTGCTGTGTTACAGAGTCAGCGGAAGGGCCGCTCAACTGATCTCTCTCCCTCCTCAGCCAGGAAGAAGCCGGGCGCCGAGCACTGAGGGTTATTAAAAAGGACTCATAGGACCGGGAGCCCGCCCGGCACAGAGACCCCGCCCCATGGCCGCGACAGGGACTACATTTCCTACCTGCCCACGGGGAGGCAGCGCGCCCGCCATTATTGTGCGCTCCTTCGCGGGGGCTGCTGGGAGCTGTAGTAGGAGGTGGGGAGAAGATGGCGTCCAAGATCAGCGTGGTGCTGCGGCCGGTGAAGAGCATCGTGGTCCGGTTCTGCCCCTTCGAGCCCAACGTGGAGAGCACGAGGTGAGGGGGCCGTGGGGGCAGCGCTGGCCCCGGGGCTGGGGCCGTCCCCGTCCGTGCTCTGCCCGGGCTCCCCCGTCTGTAAACGTCCTTCCTGTGCCCTCCAGGCGCGCGGGTTGCGCGCGTTTCCCGGCAGGCACGAACGCTGGGCCTTTTGCCTTTAATTCTCTTTATTTTGGAGGTGGAGGCAGGGGTTATGTGTGCCCTGGGGAAGCAGCTGCAGGTGCCAAGCGAAGCCGGAAAACCTGCTGTCCTGGCAGTGCCCTGGGACTTGTCACTGCAAAGAGTAAGAAGTGCTGGTAGCAAACCGTGAGGGAAATGCTAGCACCTGTTGTTCCCTCTCAGGAGAAGAACTTCCTTCTCCCAAACTTCTGAGGCTGCTGCGCTTTGGCTTCCGTGATCTTGGTCTTTGAGGGCTTGCATTTATCAGGCCTTTGGAGCTCAGTCTAGGCAGAACCTTGATGTTTCAGAATGGGATTTGTTGTAGGGCTCTGCTTATGGTGTTACCAGGCTGCACACAGGATTCATTCCGTGCGTTTTGGAGGGTCTCTGTGCCCGAATGTAGGCCCTTGCATATGGATACCTGCACTGAGCTTTACCGAAGTACCCAGGGAGATGCCCTGGAGTGGCTGATCCTGTAGTAGGGAGTGTAATAACTCCTTCAAATGCTGGTAATGGGAGAAAGTGGAGGCAACAGCTGCTCCTTTTTCTGGGTAATTAACTTCTGGAGAAACCTAAGGAATTGTGCTTCTCGAGTAGTGTGGGTTCTCCACCAAACAGTTGCAAAATGTCGGCTTGCAGTGACTTTACAGACACATGTACTTTTAAAATTAATTTAGTACCACAGTTTAATTTAGAATATCTTTAAGCCGCTCGAATGTCAAGTAGCTGTCATGCATTTCAGAAATTTACAGGAGACCAATGATGTCAAGGAAATAAATGCTGTCTCAAACCCAAACAAGAAAATATTGGCAAGCAAATGACTTATAAAGAAAAATGAAAATGACTTTGCTGATTATTTTTTATTATTGTAACTAACCCAGCTGAGAGAAACACAGAAGGTGTATACACTGAAGTTTTACAAAATTCTTTTATGTGCATTTTACATGTTAGTATGTAAGGAATACTTGTTTGAATTTTTTAAGTGATTCTCATATAAGAAGTTCCTGTCTGAAATTACTAAATACAAATCCTATTTTGTTTATACTTTGTTGCCCAGCAATGTCTAGATATGCAAATCAGTTTTAGAAATATACTGATTTTAATTGCTATCTACCACATACTTAATATATTTTCAAATATATTTTCAGAAAATTTCTCCAATGTATATACCATAAAAAAATCCAAGCTACTAATAGAAACTGTGAAGTGACTGCTGATGTGAGACATGACGGATCTGAACCACTTGTAGATGTCATGTTTGGTAAGGAGCTCATTTTTAAACAAAAAAAAAAAGACCTTCTGAGTTTGTGTTACAATGTTATTGTGTTCTCTATTATTTTTTTTAACTATGATTTTTTTTTTGGCTCTCGTCCATAAAAAGAAAGAGGAGTCACTAACAGCCTGATATCTAGATAAATGTGTATATATGTCTCTGTACTACAGTTAGATCTGATAGATTTTGGATCCAAAAACTGACTTAACTTTAGAGCTGAATGCACTTGTGTAGTGACATATTTATGTGACCTTGCAGACAGGTACAATTCCAGCAAACTAAATGTAGCTCTGTTTTGATGTAAGAATCTGTTCACTTTCTGTATTTTTTTTTTAATGTTACCTGTGGTGGAAGCATCTCAGTCTTGAGAACAAAAAGTTGAATACCTTTAGTTGCTTATGCAACTGAGTAACTCCCTCTGCAGTTTGAAGGAACTGCTCATATGGGTAAGGCCACACATGTGCAGATGGATTTGCAGAATGAGGTCAAGTGTGTACAACAAATTCCTTGGTTTCCTTTGAGGGCACAGTGAGCAGGCAGGGAATTGATGGTGGAAATTTCAGCAGTTCTGGAGACAGCCCAGATTCTAGGCTGTGAACAGATGGCTCTAAGCTGCTTTTGTCCTTTTCTCTGGCTGCATCTTCTTTCCTGCTGTGCTGTAATGGACCAATATGTCATGTAGCCCATTAAAGTTTTCACTATTATTGATTCATGCTACCCCCTTATCTTTAAACTTCCATGTATTTAGTGAATTGCTGGAAATGTCAAAAGTATTGAATGGTATTTGTTTTGCTTAGGAAAGTCTACTTATTTGAATGTTAATGTTGCTTGTTTCTCCCTCCCCCATGCTTGTCTTTCCCATCCTTGTCTCTAACTGTGATCTGATGTATTAAGCAGTAAAGCTCAATGTTTTTCACAGTGTAAAACCAAAACAGTTTGTTTCACTTATGCCAAAAGCTACAGCTCTGAACTCTTAATTTTCTAAGAGCTGATTTTTTTCCAGGGAAGTGTTTGTAGCTCTTCTAGTTGGCAAATGGGGCCTGGAACTTGGATGGCATGCATGGTATTGCATTATATGAGTTTGGGTATGGGTTTTGTATTTGCAAATCTTGCAAAAATAAATAATTAACTTGGGTACAATACTTGTACTGCTTTTTGCCCATTTTAAAACAAATTCTTTCAGAATTTTGGAAATCCCAGTGCTCTCTATTTTTTTCCATCACAACCACCAGATTGTGTAAACCAATTTGTTGTTTTGGCTAAAGAAGTACGTTAAATGGACCGTAGACAACAGGCTGCTAAAATGCTGAGCCATGTGTGGAAATGATCTTTCAATGCCTTCTGTGTCTTCTGTTAGATGACTTTGGAGGTATAGTATGAACCATTCAAATATGAGTTCTTACCATAGGTACACCTAGACAAATGTTTTCAGATTTTTTAATAATGCAATTCAGAAATGAAAATTAAGTCCGTGTTGTGTGCAGTTTAATTTGTTTGTTTGGTGGTGGTGCATAATCAGAGTAGGTAGAGTACTTTCTAATCAGACAAGATGAACAGGTTATTTGGATTTATATATACAAAGCAATTGCACACTAGAGTAATTGTGGCTTAGACTTTGTGATTTCTTAAGATTTTTTTCCATTTACAGCTGATGGAGATCGATTAATAATGAAGGGAGCCAACTTGACGACGGTAGAAATGTTAACAGCATTGGGGTCCAGATGTAATGCAAAAGACCTTAAGGAAGAAGAGAAAAGCAAGAAGAAGAGTCCCTGAAGAACAGAGAAGCAAGTGTGTTTGCATTTACGTGTGTTAAAAACAGCAGACTACACAGAAGGCTTTTCTCCTATGCAAGAAAATCTGAGAGATGGCCAAAACACTGACCAATTTAATATCCAGAAGAATGAACCCTTCAAATGTTCCCTGTCTTCACCTGAAGGAGAACATAGTGGATCAACAAATCCAATACCAGTGGGTCAGAGTGGCTTAAGATGCATGACTGCATCTCTCTGAGCAGCTGTGTGTTGGACTAATATCACGTGCATATCAGTGTGAATAATACACATTAGCTATTAAATTAATATTGCAATGAAGACAGATATCTTTGGACATTATTTCCTCCAAAGTTTCTCTATATTGTAGTGCAAAACATTATTAGAGTGGTTATTATTTTTTGAAAACTATTAAATTTAGTAAAAATTTGAAGAAAACTTTCAAAGGATTCATCATTGACTTAGCTGAGGGACAGCAGGCTGCAAATAGAGTGGATTTTGTAATACTGTGTTTATAAATGCATCTGTTCTTAAGCTCCTGCCATTTTCTTCCTGTCTTTTTGAAGAAAAAGGGAAGTCTGCTAACTGTAAATTTAGCTCAGCAATTAAAGTAACAAGGTAATGGGACTGTCGAGACACAGTAGAGCTACTCATCCTGCCTAAAAGTAACTAACTTTAGATATTTACTGAAGTAAATATCTAACATGATTATTGACATGATTATTGACAGACCATATGGTCCACATTGTTTCAGACATATCATTTCCTTGAAATACATCTTAAAGCACTCAAAAGCATCAATGCCTTACAGCAAACATTTTTCCCCTCAAAAAAGCACTACAAATGTTTCAGAAAAGACACATAAAAAAGCAGTTCTTAAAATGCTAAATCTAAGATACTGTCTACTTTTTTAAATGCTTATATTAATGTATCTTAAGGTTCATGAAAATATCTTAAGGTTCATGAAAACTAGTCTCTGTTTAGAAACAAGTGTCTGCTAGGAAATTCAGAGACTTGTTCGGAACGAGAACCTTTAGCTCAAAGGGAAAGGTCAGTTAGTTTTTTCGATAATTGGAGAAAAGGGCTATCTTTGAAGTTCAGGTTTGCAATATTTTTGTCACTTTTGGGCTATTTCATTAAATACTTTATGAAGATCAAAGGGAGAGCTTTATTTGGTGTTTATAGCCCCATGTCCAACCCTATTATTTATTAAAGTAACTGCTTAGGTGTCTCATCTGTATTGCAAAGCTCTGTGGTTTCAGGAGAGGTGATCTCAGGCTGTGCAGGTGAAGATGTGTTTCATGTGCATCAGTTTTGTTCTAGTTCATAATGAAAATGTGATTCCAGTTTTGAGAATTGCAGTTGCACTTGAGAGGCATTAGTTCTACCTGTTGTTAATCAGATGCCTCACTTCTCTAAAATTAGTTCATATATTTCCAAAGTTAATTTGGCAGCAGATTTAGGACACAAATATGAAACTAGTTTTACCTTACTTTTGCCAAGATTTTTAAATGGGCACTGCCCTTTCTGAAAGGAAGATCATTTTAAATAGCACTGGCAAGGTGGTTCTTTGCTACTTCTTCGTTAGGTTGCTCAAGTCAAGGTGATGTGTTATATTGGAGAGCTGTGCTAAAGACATCGGGTGTTTCCCATGTGTTTGCAACAAATAGAAGAGTACTGTAGGAGTAGATCAAATATAAATAAGACTGTTCAAAGGACAGGTTTTTTGTTTGTCTGTTTGATTTGGGATTTTTCCTCCCAGTTCAGAATAACATCATATAGTATGACTTTACCTGAAGCATCTCTACAGGAAAAGTGAGAATTGTTCAAGTGAAAAAACACTGCAGAATTATTCTTTCTCTGGTTAAACATATATTCATGTGCATAAAAGCTCTCTTACTGTAATATATCAGTGATTTTTGTGATTTTTTTTTCTTCCTTTGACAGTTTGTACATCAGTATGTTCAACTTGTGTTTAAATGTGAAACACTCTAGCTTGATCTGTCTTAAATAGTTAAGTCTGTAAGTACCTAAAGACTAAAATGGGTTAATTAATTATTAATAATAATTAAGTTTCCATAGTATTTCTTTTGGCCCAAGATTGGGGGTTATATTTATGAATAGAAAAGGGAGAAAAGATCGTTGTTTGAGCTTTTTATGGCCAAAATACATTCTTTCTGTTGTTGAAGAAAGGTGACCTTTTTTTTCTTTCCTTGCATGGGTAGGCATCCTGCTGTGTAAAAGCACACTTGTTCTAGGTGCTTTCATTTTAACCCAGAGATGCCCAAGCTTTTTGCTTAGATTAGGCCAAAGGCCTGCAACGTTGCTGTTGAGAGATGGCTGACAATTCAGTGGATGAAGCTGAGGCTGTGGGTGCTTGTAGCTGCAGTTTGCAGTGCTAAAGCTCTGATACGTTTTGTCGTGAAAAACAAGTCATGGCTTGTGTTTTAATATACAAGGTACAAAGGAAAACCTACAGGACAATAAAATAAAGCTAAAAATGTGCATTCTCAAGACTGTAAGATACTGAAGTGATATAAGCAAGCAATATGGGCAAGAAGGTACTCCTCTGGTGATGATTATGCTAATCTGTAGAAACTAGCTCTCCCTGTACTGCGTCGATAAAGGTACGAATTTATTTTTCAAGTACATTAAAGATAATCTGTAATGACTTTCTTCCCTGAGCATTTAGATAGCTTTGCTGCAAGCTGTTCATACACTATCAGTTCCTGCTGGTGATTGACTGAAACAAAGCTCTGTCAGCTTCCTGACATGCACAGTCCAGGGCTGGGGATGTACAGGGTATTAAGGTCAGTCATGCAGAACAAAGCATGTCTGGGTGAGCATTGACTTTGCATGTTATTATTCTTTAGCCCACTAATCTTGATTGCCCCACCAAAAATGTGGGTGCTTGCCCAGCTATGAAAGGAACTGGAACAGCTGGAACAGGCCCTAAAAGCATTAGGATTACCTAAATACAAACACCATGTCCACCTAAGGTGTCTGATAGCAGGTAATGACAGTAAAATGGCTAAATCTTTAATACCTGGAGGTTTAAAACCATTTTTAGAATAATCTTAGATATGTTTATTGTACAAATACGTATTTATTTAGAAATTCTTATCAGTGCATAGGGAAAATAGTCTTGAAACAGATGAATATGTCATTCAGGTAACACTACCTGCTGAGATATTCCCTTTTTAAGTATCTGCAGTATTGTTTTTAGAAAAAATCTTTATTAAAGATTTCAACTAGGAGCAGCAGTGTTGGTGAACATTGCAGGTGTTAACACACAAGTTTTACGCAGCAAGTTTCAACTACTAGCTGGTCCAAATAAGTACAAAATTGTAATGTCCTGATGCTTTTCTTGCAAGGTATAAGCAAGTAGAAACATCCTGTTGGAGGCAGTTCATGCATGCCAGTGTAACTTCTATTCTTTGTTATTTGCAGGGATCTCAGTTTGGGCAATTTCATGCTACATATAGTAGGAAAAACTGGCTGCAATACAGTATTGCTGTGTAAACACCACTGGAGGAGGGAAAAATGTTTTAAATCTCAATTTTTTTGAAAATGTTGCAATCTAATATGCTTTTGCTGTTTGTGAACATACAAGAAGTGTAATCCAATTTCAGAAAATTGCATCTAAGTATTTGCCCTGTTGGTTATGGAAGAATCATAGTTCTGGTTTGGTTTTCACCTCTACTGTATATGAATTTTGAATGACTAAGGAATTTATATGGTGTAAGAAAGTAAAAAAAAAATCCTCCAAAGATAAATATCATTGGACTGTATTTCACAGTTCTCAAGATACTTGCTTCCAAATGTATCTCCTGCATATGTATACACACACTCCTTGCAGTTTAAGATTTGCTGGCTCACTGCCCACTTCACCAGTTACACTTGCAACCAGTTTCCCTGAATGCCAGGCCCTGCTTTTTCTCTGGGTGGTTTGGAATCCGGTTGAGACTGACATGTCACCTATCAGTGATGCCTCTTCCAGATGCACTTCTCTGCCTTCTCCATCTCCTGGCCTAATAGCCTTTTTCCTTACTGGTACTGTTTGATCTCGTCCGATCTCACCTTTTTCCCCTGGAAGGCCTGAGTCACTCTTCTGAGCCTTTTTTATTGTCCACCAAGAGGATGCAGTAGCTTCAAGCAGCCAAAGTACTTTGCTGCTGGTAGACCACTGCATGTTCTCTGCTTCCTGCTTAACCTTGCTCTGTAAGCTGATAAATCTTGGGATGGAGCAGCATGAATGGTAGAGGTGCTATTTTGCTTCTGATCATTTTTAATTTGACAACAAATTTTCTTTACATTGAGCTGGTCTTCTCAGGATTTTACAAAACTAAAGCTGTGCCCAGGGACAGATGTTAGGGGTGTGAAGGCAAAGGAGTTGCTGACCTGTTTTGATCATGTCCTGAGAAGTTTCAAAGTGGTACCTGAAAGCAGAGCCTAGAGATTCTGCCTGAGTTAAAGTGGGCTTTAAAGTGGGCAGTGTTAATAGCAGAGATTTTTTGGGTTGACTACATGACTCGGGTTCAAAAGATCTTCTAAGAAGATTCTTGCTTCTGGCATCTCAGGCAACTATGCAGGATCAGCAGGTATTCTCCAGTTTGCTCTTCTAGACTTGAAAAGCCTCACAGTATTTGGGTTTATGTCCTTGATTCTGTCTCAAGAGATGATGTTACGTATCTAACATCTAGACCAGAGAAAATCTGTAAGGAGGTAAGAAATTACATTACAGTTCCCTGATTTTTTCCTATGCTTCTGCTCCAGGATAGATTCTGAGACTGGTTTGGGCACCTTTTCTTTAGTATCAAGCTTAACTTGATACTAATCTGGCTATTTGAAGGAAAGGAATAAGTAATCATCTGATTCTTGACAAGACTTAGTATGTTGACAATAGGAATGGGATAATAGTAAAAACTAGCTTTAGCTTCCAAAGGGTTTTACCCTATGTTCTTCTACAGTCCATGGAAGAGAAGGTCTTTTCTGAAAGGTGAGTCAGAATGGGAAGCTAATACTTTGAGTGGCACCCCAGAGAGCCTATTTCTTCCTGCTGTGTGCAGGTGTGAAGAGACTTGTGCTGTTTGGAACCTCCATCAACAGTGCCCCAGGCATCTCTTTCACATCTAAGCCCTTGTCCCCACAGGATGAAGTCCTTTGGGAGCCCTATTCAGGTAAACAGCCTACACATATTCCTGACACTGTACAACATGATTTTGCTCAACAGGAAGAGAAGCAGTTGCAGTCCCTCTCACTCCAACGCTGCTGGGAAAGGTGTTGGTATCCCCATCACAATGCGAAGATCCTTCCTTTGTAGAGGATGAGTGTCAGGCTCTGCCTGCCAAATTTCTATAGCTGTGATGCCCATCTTGTGACAACCTCAGAATAAAAACTAATGCAATAACTATAGTTATAACTATAAAACTTTTTTTCCTGCGTTTACCTTCACAGTGGTTGATCAATATCCATAGTAGCGAAACTCTGCTTCTGATATGCAATCCAAAAAAAGGCTAAAGCTTTAACACCCCTCTTAAGATCCAGTGGGCACATCTGTAGTTTGTGATTCCAAATTTCACAGGCTAATTATTCATCACTGGTAGAAATATTTGTTTTATCATTATTTATTCCAAATCATTTTGACATTCCTTGTCCTTGCCCTTATGTCCTTATTGTTTATTTGGGGGTATTTGTCTTTATTTATAGAGCTTTGGGATGGGGTTTTTTGTACATCTGTGGTTTCTAAAAGCCAAGCCAGAGTATTTGCTTTCTGAAAGTCTCCTCTGTGAGCAGGTATTCCCTGCTAATGTGCTTCTGTTTTATGTGGATCAAAGGCCTTTTCACTGCTAAAACTACAGCTATGGAAGATTTTTAGTCACCCTGATCTCTTTTTTAGCATTGTGATGACTGTGCTGATTATCAAATTCTGTAGATAAATAAAAACATTTTTATTCTAATGTGTGGATGTTTGCTATTAAAAGTAGATACTGCTGCTAAATAAAGAGGGCTTTTCAAAGCTTCCAAAGTTAGACACAAGCTAGCACGTCTGCAGTCACTGCAAGCTGGGCTGGATCTGACATCAGGTCATTTTTGTCTGGAATGAGGAAAATGAAGCATGGAGTCCTCTTTCCAGTCACTGCAGGCTTCTGGAGCTTTCTCTTTCACCATTGAGGCAGGGGACAATTCGAGAGCAGTCACACCATTGCCACAGTAAACTTTGCCCTTGGTGTAAGCATTTCCCTTTAAACTTGCTTTGAACATGCTGCTGACAACGTACAGGACATACACTGGGACTGCCAGTGTGTTAATTGCATTATAGTAACACTCTGTGGCCTCAGCGAGGGCTGGGACTCCAGTGCTGGGCGCTGAACACGGGCACATGTGAGCCTGCACATCCCTGACAGCTGGCTACCTAGGGCAGATGCAGCAGCATCCAGATCTACAACAAGGATTATTTGGACCCATGCTCCATGCTGGAGAGCAAGATGGCTTTGTTCTGACTTGAAAACAGATGTGTCACACAAAGTTCATTGATAAACACAGGCTGTACCCAGCTCTTGTAGCTCAGAGGTAATGAAATGCCAATATGCTGGAAGATCTTGTGCATATTGACATACAAAGGAAAACTTGCAGGTTCATGTTTTGTTGCTTCATAATTTCTGGTCTAGCATTGCCCAAGCAAACAGCTCTTGAGCTGGAGTAAAGCTTCCTTAGGCCAGCTACGCAACCATAGCACATGTTTCATCATGTGTACCTGGTGATGACATGGCTGGGAAAGGAAAACCACACTTGTACAACAAGGAAACAGAAACAAAGCTGTGCTACCTATGCAATTTTTCCCATCCATGCCTTGGGGCTGAGTAACTATTATTCAAGGACTGCTTTAATATTTTTCCACAGCTAGGGATAGGCTGAAGAGTAAAATTTGGGCTGTGGTGTCCAATTTTCCTGACAATTTTTAAGACTTTCTTAAGATGTAATGTTGTCTAGAAGAAGCCTACCACTTAGAAAAGATACTGTATATATGCAATATATCTGTATACTAGAAAGAAAGCAAGGTCCTCCCTTTTACACAGTAAAGGAAAGTATAGTGCTATCAGATTGGGTTCCTTCCAGGTTAAACATATGGGAAGTTTAATGAGTAAAGGTCTAGGGAAAAAGTTACACCTCCTATGGAACCTGATTAGTGATATGTTGCAGATGAGGAGGTGATGCTGTGCCCTGCCCAAGCAGCAGGTATTGCAACTCCAAAAGACAAAATATGGCTTAGCTTGCATGCAGTGGGTAATGCTATGGCTATGGGAAGAGAAACCTCAAACTGCTGGCCACGGCTTCCCAGCTCCCACATCAGATGAAGCATCACTGCACGATGCACACCTGCCCAAAGGAGTAGAACGAAGGTCTCTGTGCACTTTTGCCTTGGTCATTTTTTTTGCACTTGGTAATTAAGGACTGTAATATCCTCCCCTCCTACAAGGTGTAAGAGCTTGACTACCTCTGGAAAGCATTCACCCTGGCAGGCCCAAGCTGCCAAGGTGACGGTTGCTCCTAACTGTGGCTACGTGCTTGCCGTGCAGCTAATTTCCACAGAAAAATTCACACTTCTCATTGTAAATTTGATTCTCCTTTTCTTGGACAACATATAGTCTAATGTGGAAATAAGCAAAA